GATCCCAATAACCCACAATTACAATAACTTGTCGAGATTAGAAGTCCGTATTCTAAATTCCCTGGTTGGGTATCTCACTATCTGTTTGATGTGCATTGCTTTTTCTTTTAAAACTATAAGAGGTTCCAAACCAGATCATTATTAAAATGTCTGAAGGTCTCTCCCTTCTCTCCTTCTCTCTCACCGTGTCATTATTACCTCATTTAATCTCTGTCTCTCTTTCTCTTGTCTGGCTCTAATCGACAAACAGCCAGCCAGAGAGACTGACAATTAAAACATTATTATGATAGTTCCCCTTCTCTCCCATAGTCTTTCTCTCTCTTGGTTGGTCCGCCAGAATGTTAGTTTGTTTCCCCCACCCCCACTCTCTCTCTCTCTCTCTCTCTCTCTCTCTCTCTCTCTCTCTCTCTCTCTCTCTCTCTCTCTCTCTCTCTCTCTCTCTCTCTCTCTCTCTCTCTCTCTCTCTCTCTCTCTCTCTCTCTCTCTCTCTCTCTCTCTCTCTCTCTCACATATAGAGACCTGTATCAATAGTTGCGTTATTTCAGGCCATTAGAGATATTTAAAACACACTTAAGACTTTGCAATAATGTTCAGATACTATTGTCTTCGTAGAAAAGAATGAAACCATTAAAATCAAAACACATATAAAACTGTATCTTATTACCTTTGCAATTTATATGAATTAATTATATCTCTAGCACACTGTAATCTTTTTAATGAGGAAGAAGAAAAGCGACATACAAAACTGTACATAACGCCGATCACATGATATAGTTTTCGAGAAAATATAAAAGATTTAAACCATGAAATGTTCACATTGTAGTATACAGGCATTTATCAATGCTTTTTATTGACACATACAAGGAGGTAGCTAATAATGCAATCAGCTAAACACAAAACAACTGGAGTTTATTACTCATTACTCATATAAAAAAACCAATTAAAACCAAATTTGTTGCGGATTTTATCATCATAACATAGTCAGAAGATATTCATAATTTATCAAAGATATCACCGACAGAAAAATTCGTGTATATTTTTAGACAGTTGGAGATTAATAAATTATTTTTTTAAAAATGCTTGCGAATACCTCACCAAACGACATGATGTACCATTACAGAAGTAAACGAGGAACAAGTTTTGAGAAATGATAGACATAATTACAATTATATTGGTAATTTAGACAAGTTTGAAGAAATTAGCTTACAACTTTCTGAGTTTTATTCAACTCAATAGAGAAAAAGTCTCGTCTTGAGCTTGTACCCTACTTTCGAGTTCTGTACTGTCAATAATATTTGAGATACCCCAAAATTGGATGGTATTACAGAAAGGTAGACAGATGTAGCTCTACAATAATACCCATAATATAGACTTTTTTTTCGTTTTACAAAATATAGCGGCAAAAGCCTAATATTTGAGATCCCATTTTTTTTAGGCTGAAAATGATCGGTTTCTCACCGGAGCTTGTGTACTGGTTTTAGATATTTTGGCCTGAGATCTATAGGACTTGCGGTACTATTAAATTAGTAAACATACGGAAACACCATCAAAATCAAAATTCAATTACTTAAAATTCCTGGGTGCTGATGATCAAACCTATATTTGTCCATACACAAGTATCTTTTGTACAGCTTCTGTGTGGAGAACACAATATGAGCTGTAGCATTTTTGTAATCTACATGTGCATGAAACAATTATTGATTCTGCACCAAAATGAATCAGGTGCTATTTTAATTATTAACTACTTCTAAGTCAAGTCTGTAATAATACTAAAAGTGCATCAATAAAAGTTTTGTCTATTTTTGGAGAAAACAAATTACAGATAGGATAAGCTCATTAAATATATTTTTACTAAAATTTTAGTTTTATCAATCAATTAGGGACTTCCAAACCAGTATATACTCCATTATTTCTTCACCCTTTTCTAGACTGGTTCACAGTTCTTACATATTTATTACCTTGTGTCCTAAAGCACACCGGTCCGAACTGCACATTGACAGGAGAACTTTTATTAGAAGTTGGATGCATTTGAAATTGGAAGTAAAAAGTAGCCAGGATGCTAAAATTATGCGTTCAATAAGGAAACATATTACATTGTTGCCCTTCTGCGCATGCGCGAATGAAATAGTTAATCGAAAACGGCGTATTTTAAGCACATAGGCATCCAGCTAAACTAAAACCTTTCGAAAGCAGATGCATTTGAATGCATTCAGAAGTAAACACAAAAATTTATTTTCTACCAAATGCGAAAATGAAAAAGAATTTCCAGGTGTTATTGAGTTAAGAGCATCAGATTATCTTACTGACTACTGCGTGCTGAAGGATACTGATGTCCAATATATTTAAAGAAAAGGTTTCGATAGTCTGCAATGAACAGTTTTGAGTTCGATCTGTGTCATTATTGCGCTGTACTAGGATACGACTAACTAATAAATAAAGTTAAAGAAGTACAAGATGGAGATTTTTTTTAGATGCTTAAGAGAGGAATACGAGTAAGTATTAACGTGGGTTGCGCGAGAAAGGGGATATATTAGCGTTTATTGCATGACAGTTATAAAGATCAGCAACCAATATTTGGAGAATTATGATCTAAGCAAGGAGATTCATTTTGTAATTTCGTAGTACTTACTCCATTCCAGTATTTAAGGTGGTTAACTAAAGACAAACATTTGTTTCTCCTCAAAAAAAGGTTGAATCAATGGTGAAATTGTTGGCCGATAATAGCGAATAGTGATAAGGGATTTCTTCTAGATGCAGACATGGAAATACCCCAAAAGTTGTAAAATAAATACTTGGAGGATGCAAATCGTGAAATTTGCACAAGAGGACATATTACATAAACATTGCATAAGTTTAGATGTCAAGCAAAAATACAAATTTTCCAGTGATAAAAAACTTGCTGAATTTGTTGAGGTTGGAAGTAAGATACACTGATTTAAGGTATTAAAACAGTAAATAAATATGCTATAAAGAAATTTTAAAGACACGTATTATTGACTTGAAGATCGATGATTACAAAAACAGAATTGAGATAAGCAATAAAGTGATGAGCTGTTTTGACGATAATATATATTCAGTAAATAAAGTTGAAACAGAAGTGAATATGTTTTGGTAAACTAGTTTGATAGATACAATACAAGTGGTAAGCAGAGATATGTAGAATAATTAAATCAAATCGATGGAACATGTACATGGCGCAGCCTAGGTTTACAAACTACCGTTAATAATTGGTGTGTTAGAGAATCAAGTCTTTACCAAAAATAATATCAAGCCTGCAAATAAGAAAACTGGAAACCGCAAAGTAAAAATGTTAAAATTGATGACGTGTACACAGAATATCTGAATAAAAATCATTAAGATCGTAAAGATGGAGGATTTTAAAATGGAAGACTTAAATGCTGTGCCGAATGCAGAGTTTAACAATGTTGTCACTTCAGAATACGCCTTGACGCCGAACATTTACAACATATCCAACAAATAAAAGACTTTATTGTCGACGACACAGAGAACGTGTGAAGAAGCAGTAAACGAAGGAGGATCACAGAAAACGAAGTAATCGCGGTAATTTAAAGCAAACGCGTTTATCCAAATACTAATCTAATAATCCATTAAATAGACTTATACAAATTAATAGCACAAAATCATTAAGATATTCAAATGAATGTGTATGTGTCTATGTCTGTGTGTGTGTGATTTAGATTTTTAACGTAGCTTTAACAGTTTGAGTCATGTCGCTATGATGTCTGCAGTTTGGCAGTTAATAGTGGTGTCTAGCACTGGACATTATGCCGCAGATAAGTAACATTATCTTGACACCAGACTTATCAATCCTAACACTAAATGATGAACGCCAGCTGCTAGTATAATATTTATAAGTCTTTGGAATGATCCGGTGGGGGATTCAAACCTGTGACCTCCCCCATCCGAGGCGGACACTTTAACACTTAAACCATCTGAGCGGGCTCCGAATGGAAATAGAAAAGGAATTTAATAGTGTTGTGAACAGAACAAGTTAAATATTATAAGTTCTGATATTCCTCGCCAGAAAAGCTGTAAACTGATTTAGAGTGTTTTGTTGTAATTTTAATAGATTGAAAATGACAATAGTGGACTAACGACGCACTATGGATGAAACCCGTGTCATACTTCCCATTAGGGATCTGTAAGCTAAAATAAAAATTCTAAATACGCGGGATTTTATACTATAAAAATAGCAGAGAACGGGAAATTCAGTCTCTTAATTATAGATAGTACTTCATTAAAAAAATGTTTCTGTAATTTTAAAATTTATTTAAAGTTACTTTTCTCAGAAAAATAGCAATAATCATCTGTAGTTAATGACGTGACATGGCTTTGTAGATCTCCAAACATGTTTTCGACACAACATTACGGCAAGAAGATTTGTAGCCATGAATGTAAATTAGTATGATGAATGTTCTCTCAAATTAAGATCTTTCTTTATTAAAGTATTTTACATTGTTCATACGAGTCATACAATAATCATGAACTAGACGAGTCATTATGGATGGATGGTACCACTAAATACCACTTCATATCACAGAAAGAAGATCATTTCAATCGACCTATACTTGGATAAAGAGCGGAACAGTATTTAGTCTGGATTACGAATATACACATGGGACTAGTCAACGTAAGGACTGTCAACATAATGATGTCAGCCTGATAAGAATATATTTATCGGACTAACTAAATCAAACAGCAAACATATCATTATGTCAGCCCGATACAAATATTTTTATCGGACTAAGAAAAACAAATATGCTGTAAGCTGGGCATTATCCCTAATCACACGGAAAAGGTATGAAATGGAAGATATTGCTCCAACCGTATTTTTGCACTGCGATTGGATAAAATTGACTTACTGTTGTTTGTAAATCATTTACTCCTTCGAGTGCTCCAAGATAAAGTATTGACCAATCTTATTGAGAGCCATCTAATGTCCACGGATATCGAACTCGATGTACAAGTTGTGATAAACCGCTCGAGTGGCCTAGTGGTTAGAGCGTCCGCCTCGGATGCTGGAGGTCGTGGGTTCGTTCCTCGGCCGTGTCATACCAAAGATTTATAAAAATGGTTCTAACAGTTGCCTTAGCGCTCAACATTAAAAAGTTAGTGTTAGGACAAGTTGGCCTGGTGTCAGGATATGACAGAGTGGGACATCATGCTACATGTTTGCTGCATGATGCCGTAGTGCTAAATATTACTATAAACTGACATACTGCACACATCGTAGCGATATGGCTGAGACATTGTTAAAGCTACGTTAAAAAGTTCCAATTACATCAAATAAGTTGTGATAACTACACCTGCAAGTTGTGTAATGACCATTCGTGACAGTAAATGAGTATTAAGTTCTGTCTTAATTTATGTTTACTGTAGATGATTCCCAGATCATGGTCAACGGTACTGTTACATAGCCAACATAGTTGCGTTGCAAGCCGACACTGAATATAGCAGAACTAGACATAAGAGTCAGATCTTTCTTGCAACTAACTAAACCTCTATTGTTCTTTTCAGAATTGAAGCACAAAATGTATCTGGGTGGATTTATTATAAAGTTTGATTGCAATTTTTACTTTGGCATTTTACTCCTTGTCAACATATATCTGATATTTTTCAGTTAACTAACACTTAATCAGGAAAATAAGGAATTGGTGATGTTGAGAACGTGTCATTGGAAGAATGTGCCTGATAATAAAACAGAATTGTTCCCTGCTGTCCTATTTTTCCATGTACACTTGTAAACTCATTACGCTTAAGACTGTCATTATTTCCCAGACATAATTTTGTCACACTGTGATAGCACAGTCTGTTCTGCCTGGTGTATATTTATAACTCTTTGTAATAAAAAATTCCTATATACCTTGATTTCTTTCATAGGAATCTGGAACGACTGTGTGTGTGTGTATATATATATATATATATATATATATATATATATATATATATATATATATATATATATATATATATATATATATGAGAAATATTTACTAGGTCGTCATGCGAGTGCGTGTCTCCTACGCACGAGCTCATATAACACCGACTCAGTGCCAACATTTTATGGTGATGCGTGCTTAGTCGTGACGGTATATGGGCTAGTACGTGTAGGTAAAGCGATGGGTGCCATTTACTCGCGGACGTGGGTTCAAAACTCCGTAGAGTACGCATTTAATTTCTCTAACCTGTATGAAAGTATTGTTTATAATGCATAATGGTTAAGCGGAGTACTGATATTTTAACTCAGAAATTATAGTCATGTAATTATTCCAACTATGAAGATTATTTTTTGCCCCTGACAAAAAGGCTATGGGAGAAATTTCCCAGGAGAAAGTTAAAAAAAATCTGAAAGGGGGAGAAAAATTGCTCCAGAGAAAATGTCACCTTTGAAAAACGACTGGCTTTGGAAGATCCATAGGGCAGAAAATTATGTACCTGATGGTTGATCCAAGTTGAAGGTTGGAGCGGGGCCATCTCTCCCAAAAGAAATTAAATGAGCATGAAACAACTGGAACGTTTCCTAGAGAACGTTTTCATTATAGGCAGATGGTTAAAACTAAAAATGTGTTTGCCGTGGTTCGTTATTAAATGCCCCTCCCATAGGTGCCTTTTCTGTGTGTTTTCGCTTAAATACCCCTCCTATAGGTGCCTTTACCCTGGATTCCGTCTAAAATACCCTTCTCAGACTTGTTCAGGCTCCTAATAAACAATGCTAAATGATATTTCTAGATCCGCCTCACTCTCCTTCTCCGATATTGTCATTTACCTATTTTAAGTTACACACCTATATCTGAAGAACTATGGCGTGCTGATTGTGCAGCTGCACATAATGTTATAGAACGTTTGGCAGCTGCAGATAATGTTATAAAACGGGTATTTTGACTATCGATCGGGGTTTAAAGTATTGACTGGTTCAAAGAAACTTAAAAGTTATAAAATAAAGTATGACAAAATATTTAATTTTTAAAAAAGAAATAACCCTCTTGTGTATACAATACACAACATACACATCAGTACAAGTCAACTTACACATATAAAATATATCACACATAGAGTACCTATATTAAACTCAAGCGATTAACGCATGACGATGGTTTTTAATTTTTCGTAACTGGTCAATACACTATTAATATTTAAAACACATTGGTTTCTCTTGTGAAGCTTTATACGCATTTTTTTTAGAAGCACTGACACGTGTCAATAAAAATCTCGACTAGGCCTATAAGAGAACATACAGCAAGTTAAACCCTTCCCTATAAATGTAACATTTCTCAAGGTCGTGCAGTATATCTATCAGAAATAACTCGTTCATGCTTTTTCATACAAATGCAGTAACCTATAATTATTTCCAACAATGATTCTGCATCAATATCCATCCTACTGAATAATCCCTCCCCCTCAAAAAAAATGTGGAAGTAGAGTGAGATCTTGAAACGAATGCATGTAAGCCATAACAGCCTATTTTATTTAGACGACACAAAAAGAGTCTGACATATAGAATGTGTGTATAAAGTATTTGAGTTACATCACGTGGTATTTACAAATTTTAAAGTTAACTACCTCATACATAGTTGGTAATACTTTTGTGGTAATTTTGTACCAAAAATGGCCTTCTTATTAAGTCAGTGCGAATGCTTCTAACTTTCTTGATTCAGTGATGGCGTTGTGTTCTTTACGTCATAAAGGAAGAAAATATAAAATCAAATAGAAAGAAAATGAATTTCGTATCCATTAAATTTCTTGCAAGTCTTAAAATATTTTAAAATTTATACTTCATTGCATTCTTCAATAGTAAGTACGTTTCATATCAAAGTAAGGGACAATTTCAGGTAATGGACGGTAAAGACTGGTAGATTTGTTAATACTTGTATCGAGAGAAACTTCAGCGTTTGCGTTCTGGTTGTAAAAAATGAATCTGGAAATGAGTAACATTTTTATTAGCTTCGACGAAATATTTGACATTAACATTTGTTTGAAAACATTCAGCTAGGTAAAAATGGATAAAACTTTCAAATTAAAAAAAAATTGTTTTGACTTTGAAATTATATAATGCATTTTTGAATTGGATAATCATGGCAATTCAATAAACAACAGTCGTGTCATTTGCTCTGATTAAATACATCTTATATACACAAGCAATTGTAGAAATTAGGATTTAAACGATACACCTAAGTAATTAGGATTTAAACGATACACCTAAGCCACGTATCGATACAATTCACTAATATGCCAAATTTCTTATATGTTCCATAATGCTGTATAAGGGTATAAAGTCGATCAATGCTTTAAGGTATAAAATAATTATCTTTACTTCTTAATTGCATTGTTAACCCTTATTTTATTCAATCTTTCTTATCCTAATATGGATACATGTATATGGTTTTATAGCATATGATCCACTGGGCGAATCTGATTAATTAATAATATGAAAATTGCATAATACTTTTTAAATGTTTGTATTTTAATTAGGCTCAGTATTCTGCCTTTTGTACATTTAATTTCGAAATACCACTAAAACGGTAACGCCGACTATTTTTTTTTGTCCATCTTGCATATACATATGACTCGTATTTAAAACTATTTCGGGCTCAAAATCACTCGCTGACGTCTCCGTTAACACCGTACCAGCTAAAATAATCTGATCTACTTCATAACTTTAAAAATTAGTGTCATCATCACTATTCACTATCATCATGAACTATTTACCGAACGAAATCGTAATGAACTGTGTCGGGAATGAGACATTTTTGGTTTTCTAGGTAGCCCCTAGTTTATGCATGCATTTGTGAAACTTTCTTCAAGATTGGTTCAAACTACGCCATAGTTGTTATTCCTGGGCACATCGTTCTAATCAAATTTAGTTTCACAACCAGTCATGCCGTTCTTGAAGAACCCATATGTTTAACAGTTGCTACCCGAAAAAAAGATGTCCCTACAAGAACGGTTAAATACATATTGGATACTTCGCCAAGCCCATTTCCGTATGTGGGACTTTTAACAAATTTGAGAGAGTTTTCGCATTTCACTGTTCTCAAAGCGCGCAAATTCGTACAAATTTTGCAAGATTCGCGCAATGGCACATCTTGACAGCATCTGCACTTAAGTAGGCCTACTTGACGCATCTAATCACTTTCACACGAAGTCTCCTTGTTGCTCTACCAATGCTTCCTATTTGTCACGCAGAGAATAAGCTACATTGATTTTTGATTGGTGGTTATTGTTTAACCTGGAGCGAAACGAGCAATAACAACAAATGAGAATTCTTTGTAGCATTCTTCAATGTGCAACACACCGGTAGCGTAGTTTTCAAATCGACCAAAGGAGTAAAGACACAATTCAAAGTAGAAACTTTGCGTGAAAGTGGTTATTGAATGATGAGTAAAGTACATCATTATACACGTGGAACACGTATGGAATGTATTGTATACGATGAACATACTTCTGGGTTAAGATAATTAACATGCATTGGACAAAGGGGGGCGGCGCGGCAGATTACAAACCAGGTGACTAGTTTGCCAGTGAGTATTCTCATATAATCTTTTTCATTTTTAGTAATAAACATGAGTACCCGTTACTGCAAATGCTATTTCAGATGGATTATAATTTTACAAAATAATAAGGCAACTAATAATAAATATTCACGACTGCTAAAGACTAAAATAACATGTATATTGTGAACATCGTTTTGTATCCATTCTGTCTCTTGCATTGATATGTGTATCGTTTCAGCAAAAGTATCGATGCATCGATATACATGAATAGATGAATCGTTTCACCTATAGTAGTGATTGTCTAATATTGTCTAATAATTTCGATTATACTATATTTTCACAAGTATATTCAAAATCAGAATGCTTTTATTTCAAGCTTAACAGAAATACAGTTTGAATTTAAATAAATTTGTATGGTATATGAACGATCAAATTATCTCTGTTCTTATCCGTTCGAGAGGCGTCATAGAAACAAATAACAAGGATGTTAATTCACTGTTTGCATTAAAATTTGGTTTTATTCCCTCTTGGGGCAGACAAAACAGTCAGTGTGTTTGATGC